CACACACACACACACACACACACACACACACACACACCCCGGGTTCAGAGGCTCATCTGGGAGGAGATTGCCCATCCTTCTGTGGTGGAGCAGCTGGTGAATTCCAGCTGCCTGCTCTTGAATTGGCAGCAATTTCTTAAGACTAGGCCACCAGAGTTCTAAACAAGGGTGATTGTTGATGAGTACTGGCTTATAGCTGATCCTACAGCGGGCTTTCAGAAGTATTAAACCACAAGGGAATAGACTTCTCATCATTCTCCAGTGGAGCAGCTGGTGGCCTAGCGGTAAAAGCTGTGCTGCAATCCCGAAGTCATGCAGTTTAAGGCTATCAGCTGCTCCGCAGAAACTGATGGGCAATCTCCTCCCGTGCGATTAACTGCCCCTGGAAACCCTCTGGAGGGTCAGCTATGTGTTGGTTCCTACTTTACGGTACACAACCACCACCTTTGGGGTTGCCATGCAGCTTCTTACCACTAGGAGGAGGAGCGTATTAAACAGTATTTCTTGTTGTTGGTCATGTGTTTGAGTTGTCTGCAACTCTTAGCGACTCTATGTACAACAGCTCTGAAGCCTGCCCTGTCCTGAGCCAGTCTCACTGACTTCAACAACATACCTACCACCATTGCCCTCATTACTGTATCAATCCATCTCATCCGGGGGCTTCCTCTCCTGCGTTCTCCCTCCACCCTCCCGAGCATGATGTTCTTCTCCAAGGATCAGTCCTTCTGGCCACGTGCACAAAGTATGTGAGACAGAGCTCCAAATTTCTAGCCTCCAAGGAGAAACTTGATTTCACCCTCTCCAAGACAGACCTATTTGTTTTCTTTGTGGTCCTTGGTATGTTCAAGACTCTTCTCCAACACCACAATTCAAAGTCATCAATTCTTCTGTCATCCTCCGTTATTATCAAGCTCTCTGGCGTACAGCAAGTAATTTCAAAAACCATGTCCTGGTCTAGGGACACCATGCAGTTTGAGTACTAGCACTGTTAAACTGAGGGTAAAACAATCTTCAAGGAATTCGGCAAAGTGGAGAATCCTCAGGAAGGCTGGGCGTACTAAACCACATACACACACACACACACACACACACACAAAGTGTGGACACGCCCCCGCAGACTTGGGCAGAAGAGGCGCACAAAGCCAGTTGGAGACAAGGGAAGCAGTGAAGAGTGACACTGGGAGGGGAAGGTGTTTGGTGTTTTTAGGAGAGTGTCTTGGGACAGGATGGAAAACAGAGGAGGCCAGTTTGAACTTGGACTTGGCCGGTCGAAATGTGGCTCTCTGCGGCTGGACACCGAGATTTGGTCGCATTGGTCACTTTCGGTAGACTTCAGAAGGCGAGGCGGCCTAAACCTGGTTTCCCAAGCTGCAGGCTACTTGGTGGGGCGGCGGGACGCGCGCAGGTACACCACTACCCCACACACACCCCCGCCACAGAAAAACTCCAGAGCCAGGGCCAGGCCCCTCGCTGCCGCTGTGGGGATTAGCGCGCTCCTCGCCAGCGCCTCCGGATTAGCCGCGTGGACCCGGCGCCCGGCTCGGGGATTACGGCGCGCTCCCCGATGTATATATGCCGCCATCCGCGACGGGGTCGGGCGGGGCCAGCATGGCAGCGGCAGAGGACGGGACGAGCCCCAGGGGCCCCGCGCAGCCCGGCCCCTTTTCCATTGAGCACATCCTTTCACGCCCACCACAGCGCAGCCCACAGGGCCACGCCGAGGACCCGCCGCCGCCGCCAGCGGGCCGCCGGCACCCCGGGGACTCGGCGGGGCCTGGGTTGCCCCAGGCTGAGCCGTGCGCCTGCTGCTGCTGCTGCCCTAGCACGGTGCCCTGCGCAACCCCGGAGCCCACCGCCGGCCTGGGTGAGTGCACGCCGCGGGCCGTCCCCCGCCCCAGCGGAGAGGTGAAGGCGCGGGCCAAGGTCAAGACACTCGGGGCTGATGCTTGCTCTCCCGCAGGCGCGCGGCTACTGTGGTCTCTAAGGTTGGGACCCGCCCTGCCCTTGACCTTGGCCGCACCCGCGCAATCTGGAAGCCCCTATCCGCCGCGGCGCACGCGGCGCCACCGCACCATTTTCAGCGAGGAGCAGCTGCAAGCGCTGGAGGCGCTCTTCGTGCAGAACCAGTACCCCGACGTGGGCACGCGTGAGCGCCTGGCCCGCAGCATCCGCTTGCGCGAGGAGCGCGTGGAGGTGTGTTGCCCGGGGGAGAGGCGACCCTGTGGGTCTTTGAACTTCTATTTTTAAAGACAGCGAGGATTGATAAATTGGAGGGAAGCTGGAGCCAAGGGGACACACCAGTTGAGGGAGGGGCGGGGACCTGCGTTTTGGGGATGTTGCTGGAACTGGAGTAGGGAGTTAAAGCTAGTTTTACCGTACTTTGTCCTAAACTTTTTCTCTTACTGTCTTCTGATAAAATGGAGGGAGTTCTAGTGGTATGTTGCTGTTGGGTGCCCCGGAGTCCAGTATGACTCACAGGGACCCTAAGAACAACAAATCTTAATTCTGTCCTATCCTGTGCCATTCTCACAATCTCTGACACACTCAAGCCCGTTCCTGTAGTCCCTGTGTCAATCGACCTGGTTGAATCCTCTCCTTTACCATCCCTCCACCTTTTCAAGCATGATATACTACTCCAGGGAATAGCCTCTCCTAGCAACATGTCCAAAGTATGCCACACATAAGAAATTGAACTGCCAAAGCAAAGACACACGATTCTAATCCACCAGTCGTTTTGCAGGAGAATGATGGGCAATCTACTTCCTTGTAATTTGTTCTTGCTGCTGCTGTGTACTGTTGAGTTGGAACTGACCCATAGCTGAGCGTCCAAGCCAGTTTTCAGAGATCGCAAGTCATGAAGGAGAAGACTGATAGAGCAGCTGGTGGATTCGAACCGCATGCTTTGAGATTGCAACCAGCTTCTTACCAGAGCTCACCAGAGCTCTCTCAATTTACTGGTTTTACTGCAGCCCTTACTCACCCATACCTATCTCTGGAAGCTCCGTGGAGCGGGAGGGGTTATATGGTCCCTGGTTCCTGGAATGAGCAGTCAATCCTCTCTCCCAACTCTCCCCAGGTCTGGTTCAAGAACCGCAGGGCCAAGTGGCGACACCAGAAGCGCGCCTCAGCATCCTCAAAGCTCCTGCCTAGAACCAAAAAGCCCCCCACGGAGAGCTGTTGATATCCTGAGAGCACCTCCTGGGCTGGCCGGTGTCTTCTGAGGCCGGTTCCCAGAGGACAGACTTAGTGGGAAAGGACCTGGGAAAGGAGGCTAGCCTTTTCCAGTCGCACTGTTTTCAGAGCCTTGGAGCCGGGGCCCTGGTGAGGTGAGGGCACAGCCAGACTTGGTGCCCTCTCTTTTCCTACTGAATGGGGAAGCCTGATAGAAGACTGGGTCCCCTACACAGGCACTAACTCCACCTCAGAAAAGAAGTCTCCCTCTATCAACATGGGAACTCAGAGTCTTCCCATGGAGCCTCCATCCAAAACGGGCTATGGCATGTACTGCCTCTCTCCACAAACACGGCTGTGGCCCCTCACCTGATCACAGCTGGCCTGACCTTCTCCCCCAGTGCCAGGTGGGTGTAGGTTTATGGACAGGGGGAATGTCTGTGCATGTATCTGTATGTCTACACTTTAAAGTAGAATAGCAAGTTGGACAATGTGATCTCCAGAAGCTCGCTGCTCAGCTCCTAAATCCTGTAAATCTTATGCTGATACTAGGAAATAAACAAGTATATACTACAAAGGCCAAGGAGAGTACCAAGTTGGCTCTGAGGCCTCATCATGCCCTGCCTCTCCTTTTTCCATCCAAGGAGTGGCATCCTGGCTTGGCATGGGGAGAGTGCAGTCCAGGGCTTCCTCAGGTGGGTGAGCCTGCAGAATCCCTGGGCTAGATGTCCACTCAGCAAAGTATACAAATCCCATCACAGCCCCCATGCCTGGGGCTGGTGCTGGCCTCTAGGTATTGCTAATTGTCTTCCTTGAGGGGAAGGAGTGTTTCTTCTGGTTTCCCCTCCTCCTTCTGGGGAGTTTCCAAGTTGTGGTGTCATGCTCCCTCAGGGCACTCAGTCTTTGCCATCCTAGGGTGGGGAGGTGGAAGAGGAGACTGGAATCTTCAGCCTCTGCTACTTGCTTCCCTCCTCTCTCTATTGAGCTCTGGTGGTAAGGAACTGTGCTGCCAACTCGAAGCCAGTTTGGATCCACCAGATGCTCTGTGGCAGAAGGATGGGCAGGTGAGATGAAAGTTGCAGAAACCTCCTGTGTGATTAGCTGCCTCTGAAAGCAGGCTGGAGGGTTAGCTATGAGTCAGCATAACAACAACAGCAACCTCTCCATCAGCCTGGCTGGCCCCAGGCTGAAGGACCACATGAAAACTAGGTTTGTGTTCTCTAGCTGGGCCCAGGGTGCCCCCTTCATGGGAACCTTTTTCTGCATCTTCACGGGTACTGGTTGGAATTGGGAGGGTTGTGGTGGTGATTATAGAGTCAAGAAGACTCGGGATGGTGCAAAGGGTTAATGCACTCAGCTGCTAAATAAAGGCTGGAGGCTTCAGAGCAGCAGAGGCACCCCAGGAAAAGACCTAGTTATATCCTGAAGAAAAAAAAACAACCACTGAAAACCACATGGAGCATAATGGTGTTGCCACGAGTCAGGTCAGCTTTACAGCAAATGGTTACTGGGCATCTGGAGATGAAACATGCAGAAACCAGGGCACCTTTCTGGCAATTCAAATCCACCAGTGACTCAAGGGAGAAAGATGGACAATACCCTTTGGTGATATTTTTGGCCTCTGAAAATAAGTTTGAGGGCCAGCTGTGAGTCAGTTCTGACTTGATAGCAGTGAGTTTTCCTTGAGGCTTAGTCCCAGTTATTTCCTTCTCATCTCTATTTTCTCCCTGGCTTATTTGCCTCTCTTCTCCCTGCCACATTTGCACATCAGGCCTCTACCCCTAAGTGCTTCCAAGCCCACAAAGAGCTCTGCCCATGTTTGAAATAAGTACACGCATCAAAGACCCTGACTTCTTCCTCTTCCACCATACCAAGACCTACAGCAAGTTGGTTTTAGCTTAGAAAACTCCCAGAATCTATCTTCTCCTCAGCTTCTAGGGACCAAGCAGTAACCGAAAGGCACGCCGTTTGAATCCACAAGCTGCTCCACAGGGGCAGGATTAGCAATTTCCTCCTGTGTCTCTGAAAAACTGCTGGAGGGTCAGATATAAGTCAGTTCCAACATGACAGGCACATAACAACAACAGCTGCAACTTCTACTGCACCATCCTGGACCACCACCTTGACAATTGAATCTACCTCCACACTTGCCCACCTGTACACATGCTGACCCCTCTTTTGTTCGTTCTCCATGAAAGTAAATTTCAAATCTGACTATACCTTTCACCTGCCTATAGCACTCCAAGAACTTCTCATTACTCCCAGAATAAGCTAGAACTCCACGTAGTGGCCCATGAAGATGTGTACAGCCTGACCCTTGCACCTCTGGCATCATCTCACTCACTCTTCCTTGTACTCCAAAGGTCTTTGGAATCTGCCTTATTCCTTCCCACCACTGGGAGTTTGCATTCCCTCTTCTTCGTCTGATCAGTGCCTGTTCAGCCTTTAGCTCAACAATCATTTTTTGCCCAGAGAAAATTGCCCTGACTTCCTCTATTTGATCAGATTCCCCAATACAAATTATTTTGCACTTGTCACAGCTACAATTATAAGGTGATTTAACTAGTGTCTATATTCTCTCGGGATTATCAGCTCTGCAGGGTAAGAATCATTACAATGGAGACTCATGGAATCATGGAGAATGACTGGGTGACTGCAAATGGCAATGTCTGTAGGGAGTTGCATCACAAACTACACCTTCAAAGGAAAAAAAATAGGTACTCTTCTCCTTCACAGAAGCCTCAGAATCCCAATGGAAGGTTAGTTATGAGTCAGTTTTGCTTTGATGGCAATAAGTTTGAATTTTTAATTTATTTAGGCAGAATTTCTTTGTTTTGATGTAATTCTCCTTTCAGGAAAAATTACTTCTGAAAAATCTTGGGCTTCAGGGGAGCTCTGGTGGTCTAGTGGCAAGAAGCTGTACTGAAATCCCAAAGATACACGGTTGGAATCCACCAGAAGCTCTGCCAGAGAAGGAGAGATAGTTAGTTTCCTCCTGTACCAGTCAGATCTGATTTGACGGTACATGCACAAAAAAAAACAATTAAAAAAAAATCTTGGGCGTCAATGAGAAATAGCCCTTTTCTGGGTAGCCCATTCTGTTAACTGACATTCAGGTAACTAACATACGTAAAGGGAGCTCTGGTGGCCTAGCGGTAATGAGCTGGGCTGCAATCATAAAGGCAGGTGGTTTGAATCCACCAGGTACTCTGTAAGAGAAGGATGGGAAATCTCCTCTGGTGGGAATTGTTCTTAGGTGTCGTTGAATTGAGTATGACCCATGGTGAGCCTATGAACAACAGATCTGAACCCTGTCGTATCCTATGCTATCCTCATACTTCCTGACATACTAGAGTCCATCACTGCAGTCACTGTGTCAATCCACCTGGTTGAGGGTCCTCCTCTCTTTCACTTATACTCTATCTTTCCAAGCATCTCCTAGCAACATGCCCAAAGTATGTGAGGCAAAGCTTTATCATCTTTGCCTTCAAAAGCACTTTGGCTACATTTTCTCCAGGACATGTTTGTTCTTTTGGCTTCTCCAACACCATGGCTCAAAGACATTCTTTTTCTGTCATCCTTATTCATTGTCCATCTCTTAGATGCAAGGGTGGTGTGACTTACTGACTCTGAAAACCTACTGGAGGATGAGCTATGAGTTGGTTTCGTTTGACTCAACACAAGCACAACAATCTTAAAGTAGACATTTCTTTATTGAGCCACCAGGATTTGTTATTGTCCTTGGATCAACGGGGGGGGGGGGACAAACCACAACTCAATTCATTGCTGTTGATTTAGAACCAACTATAGCTGACCCTACAGTTGGATTTTTCAGAGGCTGTAAATTACATGGAAGGAGATTTGCCATCTTTATTCTGAGGAGCAGCTGGTGTATTAACTCTAAGGAAAGAATTATCTTAAAATTCCTTTCTTTCAAATTGTTTGAATTGAACTTTTAAAAATGTATACAACCAAAATGTGTTAAGTTAGGTTTTTGTTGATACATTTGAAGCACATGTAGTGTTTCAATTTTTCACTGTTAAAGTAAATTAATGGAAAACAACTATGAGGTATCCTCTCACTGTAGTAACAATAGCAAAGTTCAGCAGAGCAGCAAACAACAAATGCTGGTGAGGTGAAGAAATTGGAACTGTTGGTGGGAGTGTAAAATGGCACAATCACCATGGAAAACAGTATGGAGCGTTCTCAAAAAATTGCATATGGAAATACCATTTGACCCAGAAATTCCACTACTAGAAATATATCTTAAACCAGGTTGTCACCCAAACAAATATATACACACTCATGTTTATTGCTGCATTATTCACAATAGCAAAGAGATGGAAGCAACCCAAGTGCTCATCAATAAATGAATGGATAGAAAAGCTATGGTATTTTCACACAGAACACTATGCAGCACTGAAAACAAGGAACTAATAAAATATTACACAACATGGGTGACCCTGGATGACATTATGCTGAGTGAAATTTCTCAGTCACAAAAGAACAAATACTGCATAACACCATTGTTATAAAACAAGACTAACATGGGGTTGGGGAGAAACTAAGAAAAAAAGGATAAAGAATGAAGACTGCATTGGAACAGATGAAGGAAAGAACTGTTTAAAATGAATAAATGATTAGGCATTATTTGTATGACAACAGGAAGCAGAAGTGGCATCCACTTCCTAAACAACATGCCTCTGGAAACTATGAACTTTGGTAAATGTCGATAGTTATAGAAAGGCTTCAGGCCTTTTATTCATAGGGTCGCGCTATGAGTTGTGCTTGACTCGAAGGCAATCAACGACAACAGTTCAGAATAAGAGGAGAATAGCAAAATGGACTGTGGGAGGGGTGAGAGAGGATGGAGGAAATTATGCAACCATGAATAGACACATTTTTTTTTAAAAGTCAATTGGCCCAGAGGAGTGCGGTTCAAATCCACCAGAAGCTTTGCTAGAGAAGGAAGAACAATCTCCTCCTGTACCATTCAGATCTGATTTGACGGTACACACACACACACACACAAATAATAAAATTTAAAAAATTTTAAAAAGTCAATTGGGGAGGTTAGGGAGGAAAATATGCAACAGCGAATGAATTAAAATCCAACTTCTCTGTACATTTTTGTTAAAATCACAGTTTAAAAAAAAACCAAACAAACCACACCAAAACATGAATGAATGGTCGGAGGGGCCCTGTAGATGTATGTGCACCCTCTGCTGTGGAGCGCAGAGGCGATGAGCAGGAGCTGGAGGCTGGATGCTGGGAAGTGGCCAGTCCCGCACGGATGAGGTGAGAACAGCAAGGGTGAAGGCAGGTCTTGGCTTATCTCTGAGGCTGGAGAGCCTGCTCTTGCGTGAGGGGCGGTGACTCCACTATTCACTGCAACATCCTACGACAGGTCCAAGCTGGGACCCGGCAGGTGACCCCTTTCCAACACAGTCACATCCCTGTGTCAGAAACTGGCAAGGGGAGCCTCGAAAAAAACCAGGTCCTGGGATGGATTTTCAGAACTGATGAAGGACCATAATGGTGACGACCACTGTCCCACACGTCAAAGACCCTCTGGTTCCCTGGGTCAGCGGACTGAAGGCCAGATTATTAGTGGGGGGCAATGGGGTGGAATAACTGGAAGTGTACAGAAGGATTTAATACACACTCAAAGCCTCCCCAAATCAGTGGTTGGTGCATGTGGGCAAAAAGTGAGAAAGAGACAGAGACAGAGAGAGAGGAGAGAAAGGGGAAGAGGGAGGGAGGGAATGAATGACACAGAGAGAATGAATGAATGACACCTCTCTTCAGGGCTTGCTGGTGGTCAACAGCCCTGATAAGCTTGACAACCGTAGGGAAGTACGAAGACTAGAACTCCCATCAGGGCCAGGGCAACGGGTTGCGTCACATCTGAGCGCGGGCCAGTGCTGCGCAGTTCCCTCATTGGCTGGCTACGTTAGTGCCTGCGTACTCGGAGATTCATGTACGTCACCAGGACGCGCCGGCGTTATCTCTGCGCTTCTGGGATAGCAATGGAGGCTTCCGGTGCTTCGCCTCGGTCCTTGTTCCTTCCCTCCACGTCGGGCACCAAGCGGAAGCGCTCAGCGGAGACGGTGGGGCCTGCAACAAGAAAACAACAGGTCCTAGATGAAGAAGAATACATCGAGGTACTGCTTCAGTGTGGACAGGGGTGACGTCAGGGCCCCCTCCCTGCCTTTTGCCCCTCTTGTGGGTGGAGTCCCTCCGCTTAGGTGGTGACGTGCCCTGGTCCCTTGCGCAGGTGGAGCAGCTCCAGTCTGCATTTGGGATGTGTACAGTCCTAAAAGACAAATAAACTGCAAAAGGGGGTGTCTGACGGCGGCAACATTTGCTGTCAGGAAAAGAGGAGACATCTCGCTCTGTATGTTGGTGGCATTTTAGGAAGGAATTTGTTTTTGGTTTTTTTTCCCTTTTTCTCGAAGCATGATTAAGTGGTTGACTGGAAGGCTGGTGGCAAAAAGAGCGGCGACAAGTGCAAAGCCTGGGAGTCCTGGAAAGAGGTTTCATAGCAGCATGAAGTGTGTGTGCCTTTGGGATTGCAGCACAGCTTCTTACCACTAAGCTACGAGAGAGCTCCTTTCTGTGTCTTTGGCATCTAGCCTAGTGCTTGGCATGTTGCAAGCAATTGGCAAATAACTGAAGAATAAATGAAAAATGTTGTCCTTGCCAGTGTCTTTACTGGGGTTTGAGGCGCTTGAGTGGTGTAGGAGAAAGGTCAGTGATTTGGCTCCGCCAGCTGCTCTGCAGAAAAGATGGGAAGTCTCCTTAAAGATTTACAGCTTTGAAAATGAAGGTCGTGGAAGACAATGCTTTGTGAGTGGGAGAAAAGACTTAAGTCACTGTGCTATCTGATTTACAAGACAAATGAGAAACTTAAGTAGATCTTTGAGGTAGGTGTTTGTATCTTGAAGTAGGAGTTGGTCCTAACAAAATCCTGCAGGAAGAAAAGCTGCCACGGGATTGGGGGGAGGGGGCATCAGTTTGCTTTTGTTCTTGCTGTTGTTGTTAGGTGCTGTCTAGTCGTTTGTGACTCATAGTGATCCTTTGTACAACAGATTGGACTTGTAACATTTGGAACATACAACAGGTGTTATGAGCAGGCAACTGGGTGCACAGGTGTGAAGCTAAGGGACAAGGCTAGTGGGCTAGGCTGTGCGGTGACTGGTGAAGTCGTGCAGAAAATGTGTTTGGATGGTGAGGGGTCCTGGTGCAGGTGGCAGTGCCCACATTGGTCCTGCTGATGTGGGGTAGAGCCAGCAGAGGGGCACAAAACGCTTAACAAAAATAAGGAGAGGGGCACAAAAATGCTTAAAAAAATAAGGAGTTTTGTGGAAATCAGGAATATAGAATATTGCTGCTAACTGAAAGGTTTTCTGTTTGAATCCACCAGCTGCTCCAAGGGGAGAAAGACAGATAGTCTCCTCTTAGAAAAAGTTACAAATCTGAAAACCTGATAGATTATTGCTATGAGGAATGGGCTTGATGGCAGTGGGTTGCTTAGTGGGTACTAGAGGAGAGTTTAGTAGTGCTAAGTATTGCTGTTATTAGGTACTCTCTAGTCAACACAACAACTCTGTGAACAACACATCTGAACACTGCCCTATCCTGTATCATCCTCACAATCTCTGACATGCTTGAGCTGATTGCTGCAGTCACTGTGTCAGTCTACCCAGGAGAGTATCTTCCTCTCTTTCACTGACTCTCCACCTTTCTAAGCATGATGTCCCTCTCCTAGCATTGTGCCCAAAGTATGTGAGTCAAAGCTTTATCATCTTTCTTCCAAGGAATGCTCTGGATGCACCTTCTCCATCTAGTCTCGATGGGATGCTCATCCCTGCTACAGTGCACTTAAGATCTGGGGATTGGGAGGTTGCTGATCATTGGAGGAGACACAAGTCAAAGGGGCTTAGCAAGAGTCACAGCACAGTTATTAGACATCCAGATGACCTCTCTGCCTTTTGCTCTGACTTCTCTTACCAGGGCCTTCAGACAGTCATCCAGAGGGACTTCTTTCCTGATGTGGAGAAGTTGCAGGCACAGAAGGAGTATCTAGAGGCTGAGGAGAATGGAGACCTGGAGCGCATGCGCCAGATTGCCATCAAGTTCGGTTCTGCCCTGGGAAAGATGTCCCGAGAGCCCCCACCTCCCTGTAAGAGGGCCTTCTGAGTGGCAGAGACTGACTGACTGACCCATTACCTCAGGCTTGTTCTGACCTCTAATCCCTTTCGTCTCCCAGATGTGACTCCAGCCACATTTGAAACTCCCGAAGTACACACAGGCCCTGCTATGGTGGGCACCAAACCCCGGCCCCGGGACCAGGGACCAGAGGATGGTGAGTGAAGTCCCGTCCTCCGTCCCGTCCCGTGTCCCCCCCCGCTCCCTTTCTGTCCCACTGTTGGGATTACCTGATAGTTCTGTTCCCTGAGGTTCTGAAGAGGCTCAGGAGGGCTGCAGAGGACATCTTGTCCATGAGGGGTCTGCGTGCCTAAAGTTAAGTGAGGTTAACAGAGCACTGGACTAGGAGACAGAAAGATACATGTCCAGCTCCCTAATTTGAGGTGTTTCTTAGAACCTTTGGTCCTCCCCTGTAGAATGAGAGTAAAGCTCCCTCTGTCACCACACTGCCTTCTATGTGCCATTCGCTGTCTAGGAACCTCACAAGCCTCAGTCTCCATTCCTGGCTGTTTCCTTATGGTACTGTGGAGCCTTTGTACTATATCACTGCTTCCAGATAACGATGCAGCTTGCTCCTTCTCTTTCTTTAGGCCTGTCTTCAGATGTTAACTGTTTCTAGGAACCTTTCCTAACTTCCTAGTATAAAGTAAATCCTTTCAGGGTTAATTTTTCAATGTAGGTCATGACATTCATGAAGAAAAAAAAGCATCTTTTGTTTATTGCGTCTGTCCTTAACCAACATCTCTCTCCTGAAACTCACATCCTCTCCATGAGAGTAGTAGTCTTGTCTTACATCTCTGTCTTTGTTGTCATTATGTGCCACCAAGTCAGAACCAACCCATAGCTGACCCTCAAGTGGGTTTTCAGGGGCAGTAAACCATATGGGAGGAGAGTACCCATCCTTCTCTCCCACAGAGCAGCTGGTAGATTAGAACTGCTTGCCTTTGGGATTGCAGCACAGCTTCTCAACCACTAGGCCACCAGAGAGCTTCCTTCTGTGTCTTTAGCATGTAGCATAGGCGTTAGCATGTTGTAGGCATTTGACAAATACCTATAAAGTAAATGGAAAAGCTGCCTTTTTCAGTGTATTTACTGGGGTGTAAGGAGCTTCAGTGGTGTACTTTGTTATGATTGTACTGTTAACTGGAAGGTCAGTCATTTGAATCCACCATCTGCCCTGCAAGAAAAAGATGGACAGTCTCCTCTACCATAAAGATTTACAGCTTTGCGTGCGGTCACTTTTATGTTACTTTTTTTTTTTAAGGACAGAGTATTTTGAGTGCTGTTTAACGTGAGTGTATTAGAAAAGCTCTAGAAGCCTAATCAGTAAGGAGCTGAACTGCCAACCTGAAGGCAAGTGGTTTGAATCTATCAGCTTCTCTATGGGAGAAGGTTGGACAGCCTCCTTCAGTGCAATTTATAACCCCTGAAGACATGCTGGAGGGTCAGCTATGAGTTGATTCTGACTTGACCACAATGAGTTTCTTTTTCAGTCATAGTGGAAATGGCCTAGTCCATAGGGAGTTATGCAGCTAATCCAGAAGGCTTTCCAGTCAACCAGGAACTCTGTTGGAGAAAAATGGACAGTCTCCTGTGTAGTTTCAGCCTCAGAAACCCAGTGGAATTCTGCCAGTTCTGTGGAAATGAGTAAGGGAGTGATGCTGGAAGTGACAAGCTTTTTGGAGTCAAAAACTTGTGACTGGGATTTCCTCATAGTCCTATCTTTTTTTTTTTTTCCTATCTTTTTTTTTTATGTGGTTGTGAGGTGCCATTGAGTTGGGTATGACCTGTAGTGACCCTATGGACAATGTATCTGAACCCTGTCTATCATGTCCGTCCTAACTTCATCATCTCTGACATACTTGAACCTATTGATCCTGTCACTGTGTCATTCTATCTAGTAAAGGCTCTTCCTCTCTTTCACTGTCATTCCACTTCTCTAAGGATTAACCTGTACTAGCAAAATGCCCAAAATATGTGAGACGAAGCATTATCATCTTTGCCTCCAAGGAGCACTCTGGCTGCATCTTCTCCAAGACATACATACTTATTCTTTTGGTAGTCCATGGGAGGATGTGCAATACTTTTTTCCAACACCACAGCTCAAAGGCATCAATTCTTCTATCATCTTTATTCATTGTCCATTTCTCAGAAGTATAGCAAGTGATTGGAAAGATCATGGCCTGAATCAGGAACACCTGTCTTTACTCATGAGGACCTTATTGCTTCTTAATTCCTTAAAGAAGTCCTTGATAGCATATTTTCCCTAATGCAGCAGACCTTTTAATTGTTGACTGCTGGTTCCACAGTATTAATTGTGGATCCAAGCAAGATGAAGTTATTGACAACTTAAGTCTTTTCTCCATCTGTCATGATGTTGCCTGTTGACCCAATGATGGAGATTTTTGCCACCCAGGATACCATTGCTGATGTTGAATGATTGTGCCTGAAAGCAGAGAATACCAAAAGGATGTTTACTTGTATTTTATCGTACATGCAAAGGTGTTTTGACTGTGTGGATCATAATAAATGATGGCTAACATTGAGAAGAATGGTAATCCCAAAACACTTAATTGTTCTTATATGAAACCTATTCAGACTAAACAGATGTTGTCTAGAAGGAACACTGCATGATTTAAAGTCAGGAAAGGTGTGTGTGATGGCTGTATCCTTTCTGTATCTATTTATTCTGTACGCTGTCCAGATCATTCAAGAAGCTGGACTATGTGAAGAAGAATGTGGCATCAGGATTAAAGGAAGACTCAACAACCTGTGTTATGTAGATGACACAGCCTTGCTTGCTGAAAGCAAGGAGGACTAGAAATGCTTGCTGCATAAGGGAAAGTAGCAGGTTAGCAATGTCAGAAAGCATGTAGATAAAGCCCTTTCCTTTAATATAGGACAATCTCTCACCTTTCTCAGCCCCCTCTCAGCTGTGTGTGCTCCTCTTGGCCCACTCGGACATGCTTCTCTCTTGGCCCTTTGCCCAGCCTCTGCTGTACTTGAACAAGAAGCTCTTTTAGGTCTGCAAATAAATGCCCAAGTACCCTGCCCCACCAGGAAGCTTCCCACTTAGAATGACTCCTTGCACCATAAGCCAGTGTGTCTTCTATAGCCATCTCGCCTCTGACTTCTAGTTCTGCTGCTGCTCTTGCTACCACTTCTCACCATCCATGGTGTTGCAGCTCTCTGTCTCCTAGTCTGGAAGGATTTCACACAGGAATCCTGGACCCAAGGACACGCTGCACTCACAGCTCTGTTTTATTGATGATAGTCTTGCTGTTCCTTGGAAAGGGACATATGCTTGGAAGGGTCTCCAAAGGAGACCAACAGATGGATTGACACAGGGACTGCAACCATGGGCTCAAGTTTGTCAGAGATGGTGAGGATGGCACAGTTATGAATTACCTTCGATCCTACAGCATCTAACAACAACAGAATGGCAAAACTAACCAAACTATTTGTTATGGTTATTCAAAGCTCAAGCTCACTGCTGTTGAAAGCTTTATGTCACGCGGCAGGAGATGCCCCACCTTTTGCCCAAGGTGCTGCTGGTGGGTTCGCACTGCCAGAGAGGTGCTGCCTTTGGGGCACAACCTTGTTGGGATGAGATGCATCTTACACCATCGAGTCAGAACTGGCTCATAGCTGATTATCCAGTAGGTTTGCAGAGGCTGTAAATCACAGAGGAGCTGATTATCCAACTGTCTCCTGCAGAGCAGCTGCTGGATTTGAACCAAATGGAAGTGCTGCTCCTTAGCAGTACACCACCAGAACTCCCTCTTATTTGTGCAATCTCACCCAGTCATTTTGTAGAAGTTACAAGGTCATGCATGGCTAGGAGGGCATAGTAAGTAATTCATGACACTAATGCCTTTGAACTCTGATGTTGGAGAAGAATATAGAACATCCCATGGACTGCCAAAAGAACAAAGAGATATGTCTTAAAGTGAAGCCAAAGTGCTCTTTGGAGGCAAAGAGATCTGTTATTGATAGGGTCACTGTGAGTCCTAGACTGCACCTAAAAACAACAAGGTGGCCTAGTGGTTAGAAGCTGCGCTGCAGTCCCAAAGGCACATGGTTTTGATCAGCTGCTCCGCAGAAGAAGGATGGGAAGTCTCCTCTCATGTGATTAACTGCCGATGAAAACCCACTGGAGGGTCAGCTGTGGGTCAGTTCTGACTCAGCTGTTTACAACAACAAACAAGGGAGGTAGTGACTTATGCAGAGAGTGGGGTTTGCACTCTGATCTTTCTGCTTTGCGCCTGATGTAGCATTTGTAAATATGTAAAGTTTTCACTGCAGTGAGAAGGAAAGGCTCCCATCTCTCCCTGACCTCCCTGCTGACATCTGTAGGAGACACCGCCAGGACCCCTCTATAGACAGCCCTGCCCCTGTGATGGAGCAGTCTTTGATTGTGAGGTTGTTACTGTGACAAGTGAGATCATGCCCAGCATGTGTGAGTCCTTGTCCAGAGGACTCAGTCATGTCAGGCTCTGCTGACAAGAAGGGGAATAATTATGTTCAACAGCAGGCTCCTGCATGGGAACCAGCAAGAAAAAAGTGGTGATAGTGGTTGTTAGGTGTTGAGTCAGTATGACTCCTAGCAACCCCGTGAAAAACAGACCTGAACCCTGTCCTATCTTGTGTCATCCACACAATCTTTTTTTTTTATTAAAATATTTTATTTTTATTATTTTTGTGTTTGTTGTTGTTAT